TAAACATATAATTTGTACTTTTTAATCTTTCAAAGTTTTGGAGGGTTTTGAACGCAGATATTCAGCTGGAGGCGGAGGCATTAACATTCCCCAGCAAGTGAGGCAGCCAAAAGTGCGAGCCTCGAATGGGAGATGTTAAAACCAATTAGGTACATAAATTTAATTATCTGGGAAGTGTTTTAGCAAACAACGGAAAACGTGGCACAGAAATCCGATGGCGGATATAAATAGCGAAAGCCGTCTTCTGAAATATAAACAAAACTATTAATAAAAAAGAAAGTTTCGTTAAAAACAAAGAAAGGTGTCCAGTAGCTGCTATCGCTCTTTCTAGTATGGATGGGAATTCCTAAACTTTTATATGAATTGGTGTGGAATGTCAACATTTTTATTATGCTATTATTTTCTCTTCGGCTTACATGTTGAATGTCTTCAAGCGATGTGGTTTCTGTTGTATGGTACAGTTCTTTGTGATTATGTAGCGCCAGTACACAAGGTACAAATAAGAATGATCTTTGCCAAGACCCTCGAAGCCATTTTAATCATTGATTTGAGAAAGAGGTTGTATACAGACGATAGGTTAGTTTTTGGCACCATATGAAAGTCTCGATCTGACGAGGCTATTTAAGAACATGACTCGAGTTTTAAGGTTGATATTTTGTTTTTTGTTTTTTCTTTTTTTTTCTTTTTTTCTCAATTTGCGGTGTTGGGTGAATCTGCCTCTGGCACAGTCTATTCTAAGTTCAGTTTAATTTTCTCCTATACTAAATTTGTTATAACTGATGCATATGCCGAAGTATCTGAAGTGTTTAGTATTTTCTAATTCCACATTCTGAAGTTTTCTGATCGATCATCACTGCTTTCAATTCAATTCCAGATCATAGTTTCTGTTTTGGAAATTTTGAGCCCTATTTCTTGGAAGAATCGGTATAGGATGTTGATTTTCTGTTCAAGACCATTATTATCCAACATACGAATATCTATATCATCTGCATAGATCGCCTTCGTCGTCAGCACATTGGCCTCAGGAGGGAAAGCAGTATTGTTATTATCTATTGGTAAATTCGTTGTATGCCATATTTATCTATCTATATGATAATAATGCTGGATAATTTTCTCATCGATAAAGAAAAGAGACGACGCGAAAAAGATTTAGGGTCTACAGAAGGATGCTGAGCATAGCATGGAGTGAACAAGTTAACAACTTGGAAATTTTCAACAAGATAGGAACTAGAAGGACATCTTAAAGACAAAAGAAGTAGACGGAAACTGTTAGTAATAAACCTATGAAGTTTGTGCAAATGGATGGAAGAGCGGTGTAAACAAATATGGATGTTAAATATTCGAACATAGCTGAGGTCAACAAAAGATAGGAAGCTGTAGAGAGTCATGACCATCAACCCCCTGAAGGGACACGCCACATAAAAACGAGGATACTAAACATCATATTTTTGTTTCACAAACAAAGAACTCCCATACTCTACTGGTTATGTACATATACCTATATTTTCTTTTACTAACGTGTCCGAGGATAGAAAAATCGAAAAGATGGAATATAAATGCTTTCAATTAATAGGAATTGTATGTATATCTGGCAACAAAACGGAAATAAAACCGCCAAGTCTAATAGACAGACAAAAAAACATGTAAATTTACAGACAGTGGAATTTACAAATTGGAAACCGAGAAGAAAGGATTAAACATTACTTGCAATAAAATAGAATGCATAGTTTTCAGCAAAAAGAACAGCCGACCATGCAAATTACAAATTGAAAATACCAAAATCAGACAAGTACAAAAGTTTTTACAGCGGACGGAAAGTGTAACACTGGCATCCGAACTCGCATTGGCATATTGAAAAGAGCCTTCCAAAAGCTAAGGAATGTATTAAGAAACAGGAAAATTTTGTTTGAAACAAGGAAAAAGAGTACTGAAACGTTACCAGTCCTCCTGCATGGCATTGGATGTTGAACAATTTCCTCAAAGATGAAAAGACTTGAAGTCACAGAAGAATGCTGAGAATACCATGGACTTATCAAGTGAGAAATGATGAAACTGGAAAATGGAAACAAAAAGGACACTAATACTTGATATCAGAAAGAGACGGACGTTGTTTAGAGGGCATATAATGAGGAAAAAGATCTGGAAAATTTTTATACTAATGCGTGTTGTGACGTAGGTAAAGTGTGTTGTGACGTAAGCTGGGTGTGATGTGTTATTTTTTATGTACATTTAAAGATACATCCTATTAAGTTATAATGGTGTGTACTTATTGATAGTTATTTTTATTGTATGAGTATTGCTTCAAGGATAATAAGTCTGTTCTTACTTTGTTTTTGAGTAGCTATCTAATGTTACTTTGATACATATGTGTATCATATATAATGTACTCATTAATGTGCTGTATCATGCCACTCTGGTCTGTCAGAGTGTGATTGTAGTATATACTATTTAAGATATTTTGCCCTTATTATTCGTAAATTGAATCTGTCGATCAGTAAGATTAATTAACAGAAAATGTCTTGTTTTTAATAATATTTGGTTTAAAGAATATTTGCTTCCTCAATACAATCAATCAATCAATCAATCAATCAATATATATATATATATATATATATATATATATATATATATATATATATACGGCCGTTATAGTTTGCTATCAAAACGTTTTAGATATAGGGACTTTTAATATTTAAGTTTAATTTCAGCTGATATGTCAGAAGATAAGGATAGGGAGGTTTAAATTAAAAAAGGCCCCGAAAAATGAAGGGCCAAACATGCGAATGCCAAATTGGAGATGCCAAAATTTAGATAGAGAAATATGTCTTCCAGAAGCTAAACAAATTCCATAAGTAAAATTTTCTAAGAAACAAAAAAATAAATGCTTAACTATATGGTAGTGAATGCTAGATAACTTCTTCAAAGATGAAGGAAAACATTAAGCAACAGAAATGTGGTTCTATAGAAGAGAATACCATAGACAAAACATGTAATCAAAAATGAAGTTTTAGAGAAAATGGTAACAAAAAGTACATTTATACTCACAATCAGAAAGAGACAGCTGAAATTTATACGGCACATAATGAGGAAAAAAGGTTTAGAAAATTTAACACTCACAAGACATTTTGAAAGCAAGAGGGACAGAGGAGCGTAACGCATAAGCTGCCTGACGTGCGTGTGTAAATAAATGGCAGAACAGAGATTAGTAGAGATCTCGAAATACAAGATTTACTAAGAGCTACAAAGGATAGAAAATTGTGGAGAGCCATTATTACTTACGTCCTGAAGGAATAAGGCTCACAGAAGAAGGCCATAAATCAAAGTCGCAAGATCAAAGTCAAGAATGTCTAGTTTGTAAATCAAAAGCTGTAAAAATAAAAATGGGTCCCCACAAGTACTTTCTTCACCCACAAAGAACTAATAATGTCCCTGAAGTCTAAAGCAGCGTTCGTTTATTGGGGTAAGAAAGGCAGTGATTGGTCGAGACTGGGAAGTAAGCACAAGAATTACAAAATTTCGAGGCCTTACTAAAGACTTGATCTTGATTTTCTTTTTTGGATTGACAGGTCAGGCAACTCGAGTTTTTCTTTTCGTGATAAGACTTGGTTTTCTCCATCGTCGCCACAAGATGTTCAACTTTATGTCATTCAACATTTTATCACTTTTATTTATTCTTTCTTCTTTAGCTAATCTCATATTATACTTGTTCCGTTACGACCGACTTAATATTTACTGTATTTGTTCAGGCATTCTTCACGTCAAAGAGATTGCAAGAATGTCATTACCTCCACCCCCTGCTCGGTCTAAATATGTCTATTCAGAATGTGGGCGGCAGTAATAAGAAATGAGAATATTCAATTAGAAACAAAGAAAAGACTACACAACCTTCTGTACGGCAGTGAATGCTAGACAATTAAATGGATGCGCAAGTGATGTAATGGATAGCGGCTTGGAAGGTGAAACTGGAGGGCCGAGTTCGAATTCAACGCGAGTTCATTACATTCAATTAAACGAAAATACCTCTAGAAAACGTATCACTCCTCCTCTTCTGTTGGCTAAATAGCAGGGTAAACTAATCTCTTTAGCCATGGTTGGCATCCAGTCTAGGAGAAGAAAAACTCTAATTTCAAAACGGATAACTCTAATTTCAAAACGGATAGGTTTCGGCCAAAACAACTCATTAATTAAACGTTGTGGACTGATTCTGGAATGGATTAACGCGACAATTGTACTGTTTGCTGGACAGTATCAAAGTTAAAGAAGAGACTTGAGGTCACCGAAATGTTGCTCTTCAGATGAATGCTATGAAGCATAAGAGTAGCGGGTAGGTTTTAAGGAAGCAAAATATAAAGACTTTGCGATAAAACTGCAATTAAAATACAATTTAAAATATAAAAACGTTGCGATAAACAGCAACAAAAATAAAATACACACGCGTTGCGATGAAAATTGGCAACAATAAACGAAAAATATAAACATATTGAGCTAAAAATTAGCAACATGAAATGTAAAAAAATAAATGCGTTAAGATGAAAAATGACAACTAGAAACGAAAAATAAGAACACGTTCCACTAAAAAATAGGAACATGAAGTGCAAAATATAAACGCGTTACAATGAAAAATAGCAACTAAATTCCCAAAAATATAAACGCGATGCGATAAAAAATTAAACTGATTGTTTTTTTTTAGATAGCAACTAAAAATGCAAAATATAAATGCGTTGGGATAAAAAAAAACTGTAATCAAAAATTAAAAATATATATGTATTGTGTTATTATCCAACATGGCAATGCAATACAAATCCAAAAGCTTACTCTGTATATAGCAGGATCACCAGACCAGATGTGACAGTCAGCAATATTTAAAGCAAGGACGAATGGTAGACTTGTAAATATGTAAGATAGAACATGTCGAGAATCTTTAAATACTTTAAATGTAGCTATTATTTTACCAATAATATTAATGGGGGTTATAATGGATAATCAAATTGAAATTTGGCTTAAAGTAATGAGAAGTAAAAACTTGTTGACGAATCTCTGCAAGAGAGAGAGAGAGAGAGAGAGAGAGAGAGAGAGAGAGAGAGGGAGAAGAGAGAGAGAAGAGAGAGAGAGAAACAAATCTCTCGGAAAACTAAATCCATTACGAAGGAAGAGTGAAGATGGTACAGATGGTGCCGATTAAATCAAAAAAAAAAAAAAAAAACTCTAGCTGCTGCGAAAATCCTATCTGGTCAATGAACTATTAAGCGAATCGTGATGCTGTGTCAGAGTTGTACAAGAACTAAACCCTTTGAACTACCTAATTAAAAACCAGAGAAAAAGGAAATGTTTTAAAGATGAATTTTGCATGAGTTTAAACGAATGAAGTATTGCGTTTATCCAGAAAGACCAAGAAGAACAGAATAATGCAATTTTGAACTGTTTATTGTAGAAAATTGAAAAATCTCTTCAAATAGTTTCAGCTTAAATGGAATCTACTTGGGAAAAGAATTTCTTTTCGGTGTTCGGTAAGATGCAAAGAGAATTCGGCAAACATGAAAAAACGTGTCCGTAGAAAGAGGTACTGTCAAAAGGACTGTTTTATTCCCCATGAAACCACTTTTTTAAAAACTACCTTCACTCTTCGGCAATCTTTATTGTTTTAAAAAGCCATTATTAGAACTGGAATGGAGCCTAAATTTATAGAACCTCATTTTAGACATTTTTTGTTCTTGGGAATTTATAATAAAAATACAAAAAAAAACTAGTTATTTATTAGTGTTATTTACAAAATATTTACAAAATTCTATAAAGTAATACAATTAAAATTAATGCAATGCAATATTTGTCATTTACCACTTCATAAAGAAATGAGTATGAAAACAATTTTTATTCATAAATTTGTAAACATTTACTAAATTATTGAAATATGTGAACCAACTATAAAAAATATCTTTATTATTTACCATTTTATAAAGTTTGAATCAATTGGCAGTTAGCCAATGTTTTGCCAACCATTCCAATAAATAACATAATATTGTAAATAAACAATCTAATAAATAAATGATGTTTATTTTTTTCTTGTCAATTCTCAAATTTCAACAAAGAAAATAAATAATTTTATATGTTTAAATTACATTACAATTATAATCATCGCTATTTAAAGCAATAAATATTGTCGAAGAGTGAAGGCAGGAAAAACCGTCTTTTTGTCAGTACGTCTTATTTAACGACATTTGCCTAGAATTCTTTATGTTAGATTGTTGGAACCTGGACAGACTGTTATTGCACAAGAGGAGCGTGAACAACTGACAGAATCGTATATCACTTTGAAAAAGCAAAGACGATTTCTTCGAAAGGACATTGGCCACTGATTTTGCCGAATGACATCTGTGCTTCAAATGTCTTCAATGTGTCTTGTGAGTGTTAAATTCTCCAAAACATCTATCCTCGCTAAATATCCCAGATTAAATTAATTATTAACCAAATTTCGTTATTATGTTGAAAGACTTGACAAAAGATCTCTTAATATAAATAATATAAAATAAATAAAAATGAAATGAAGTTAAAAATAATGACACAGACTATAATGACATGGATAACTTTTATAGTATTTTCATAGAAAAAGTCAACATTATAGTAGGGGACACACGCTACTGTACAATTTCGAACCAATTTACGGTCCTGAAAAAAGACACACACTATTGTACAATTTCGGACCGATTTTATTTGCTTTGAAAAGCGACACAAACTATTGTATAATTTTAGATTTGGACATTTGTTGCAGAACCATTTTAATGAGTTTCTTTCTCGTTTTTTGATTGTTATTAAATTGTTTCCTGTTTAACGTAAAAATAATGGTTCCGATTTATTGACTGGTTGTATCCCGGATAGCATAAATGGTTTTTCCCTCTCTTTAACTTTAAACCTACTTTTCCCAACAGCGTCTAGAATTTAAGATACGGGAGACAGTTACATCACACCTGACTAGGAGACAGGATGGCCCTGTGGCTGAGTTTAAATTTAATTTAATGTTTTCAGCTCTAGTTAACACCAAAAGGCAAAAAAAGAAAAAAGGGGGATAATTTGTTGTAGCACTGCTCTTGGTTTGATTAAAACAAGTGGCAACAATATTTTGCACAAGTAAATGATGAGTGTAAGGAAATAAATGAATTTCAACCGGGCGATATTTTATATATCTTTGTTTTTATACAAGTGAGCAACAAGAGAACTGATTGAATTGTTTCATGTCATATCAACTTCTGATGGGCCATTTAATGCCGAAATTTCTTGAAATTTATTTTTTTGAATTAATAAAATTATGATATGTTATTCTAATTCCACAATTGAATACATGGTAGATGATATTCAGCTTTTGTGCATATACATGTTTGTGTGGACCTGATTACTATAGGCAGTGATATCTGTTATTTATGTTGTAGTTTTGTTGAAGTTATATTTTGGAATGCAGTTTGATTTCTTTAAGAAATTGTAGGATATTATATGGATTAATGTCATGAAAGAGTTATTTCATTTTGCTTGTTTTGTTTTGTTTAGCGGCATACCAACATCTATGAGTTATTTAATGCCGGAATTTGAATATTTTGAACATAGTTTTGTGACTTCCACTACAGATAAATTGTATTGTTGGCCGTTGTGATATAAAATTTATTGTTTGTAATTCCCCTATAAATATGTATCGTTGGTAATTTTTTTTAATATAAAAATGTAGTTTTTACTATAAAAATGTATTTTTATGCTTTTATAGTTTGGGTGGGGGTCACTATTTTGCCCATAGCTGCGGACCTAACAGTTGCTACCACCTCGGGCCGGGGTTGACCTAGAAACAACAGAAGTTAAGAGGTGTTTCCGTGCTTCTGAAAACAGCCAATCTCCCGATCAGATACCTTGCTGTCGGATGTAGTCTATCGTCATACCCAGGACATAAGTAAAAAGAATAAAAAAAAACCATTATTATGCATGCAGAATAAGAAGGCATTACAACTTAGCAATTACGTACTCGAGACACGTGTGTGTTTATGCACGTGTGTGTTTGAAAATTCATTCACTAAAGGGAGGAGTATCCCCATGCTCAGGAACAAGTTCCCGGTGGTGTTTTCACTAAAACAAACGGGGGGACAAAGAGATAAATGAGAGAGAGAGAGAACAACAAATGTCCCGTTTTTATAGGCACTTAACAGCGACTTCTAACGTCTTCTTATCGAAATTGGAGAAGCTATGTGCGGATAACCTGCAGTTTCAAAAACAAATAATCATGAAATGTATTTTTTAAAAAAAAGGTGTTTTCAGAATTATTAATTTTTGTTGCTATACAAAAACGAAAGCAGTTTTCTCTTCCTTAAGTCATTGAATGTTCACACATGAGACTCTAAAGTGATAAGGCCCTTGGAGTGAATATATCTTAATGTGTTGTGAAATGAGCATTCGCTTCCTGGTGGTCGACGTTGAAACGGAACTTGTCTTTCAAAAAAAAAAAAAAAAAAAATACGCCGCTTCTGACTAAGCCAGGAGCGGTAATCCTACAGACTACCTTACGCAAAATCACTCAGTGGCAGATTTCACACAAAGCATTTACTATATGAGCAAACTACCTAACGATGTGCGGGATGAGCTTGTAAAATATAGACCTACGGTAGTAGTTCATGTTTTCAGGAGACCGTCTCATAGACAATGGGTCAAATGCTGAAAATATTTTAATTAAACGCATGAACCTTAACAAGTTACAACCGATGTGATTTTATAGTTGCATTCTTTAATTTAGGGATTTTATTTATGATCAGACCGAAGACATTGTATTTGAATTTGATAAAGGGATTGACGCCCTTTTCGCCTTTTTATTCATTTCCTAACCTGTGTTTAAGCTTTCTTCGCTGTTTTGCTTTTTCCTCAGTTTCTTTAATTAGCATTTTAAGTTGAATGTCTTTTTTTCTATTCGTCTTTTTTTAATATTATTAACCGCTTGTCTGAGTGTGATCGAGGGATTTGTCACGCGGAAATAAATGCACGTGTTATTTTATGCACTTGAGATGAAAACGACTTGATCACGTATCATTTCTTTCTCAAGACGGAAGACACTGTTGCAGCGCGGTAGTTGGTCACACTGGTGGGGGGGGAGGCACAGGCGACGCAGTCAGCTATTTTGAGCTGAGCCTTCGAATGTCGATTCTTGTAACTTGGGATATACAACTTATTTCTTTTCAAGAAAGGATATAAAATAAATTTGTTTCGTAGATTAATAAGCTCGTATATTAGCTTAAATCCTCATTGGGCACTGCATTAATATGGCTTCAGAGAAAGTGAAAAGCAGAGCATCATCATAAGGATGTGGTTTGAAAGTTAAACCCGTTGATCTTTATTGTTGTAGTTATTCTCACCGTCCATCCGTATGGAGTGTAATAGATATCTCGTTATGTTAGGTAAGTCTAGTAAATACTTTATTGCCTATCGTAGTCTAGTGAAAGCCTTTTTTTTATCCAAACTGTAGCTTATTTCCTACAAACGTACCGTTGCAAACGTGTCGATATTCCCATGGCAAATATTCAGATGACAGCCATTATTTAGTTCTACTAGTTTAGAGATATTTGTAATCACTTAAGTCCAAGTAAGGTAACAAAACGACCAAGAAGCAACTGGTCATTCAAAATAAAGGAAACTGGGAAAACGTTACTGATGAAAAAAAGGATACCCCCCCCAAAAAAAAAAACAGAATATGAGGATTGACGTTACGTCTCTGTCTATATTGACGTTACATTTTAATTTTTGATGATTGTAGTTGACAGGAAATCGAAAAACTGGAAGAGAGTTCCACAGTCGAGAAGTGTGAGAAAAGAAGCCATTAGAATAGAACTTTTCCCCATCAAAGAGTTTTGCAGCGATCTAAAAAGTTAATCAGGGTCAAGTGAATAGGGCGCTTGAGGCAGAAGGAACCAACCGACTTCCAAACTTTCTTCGGCTTTGCTTTGTCATGGAGGAGAACAACATTTTTCCTTACTGATGTGCACAATTCGACCACACTTTTTTAGTCACGTTGCAGCTGTTGGAGATATAAATGTGAATTTACTGTTTCATTGCGCTTAAGAAAATCTGAATAATACCACGACGGTCCAACCACACGCAAAGATTAGGGTAGGG